ATTTATTTAATGAAGATTTCTGTCTCTTCCCCGCCACTGCCTCCCATTTCCCCAAAAAAGTCCCCCTCCCTCATCAGCCCAAAGATCAATCAGGGTCCCTGCCCTATGGGAAGTCCAAGGACCACCCACCTCCATCCAGGTCTAGTAAGGTGAGCATCCAAACTGCCTAGGCTCCCACAAAGCCAGTACGTGCAGTAGGATCAAAAACCCATTGCCATTGTTCTTGAGTTCTCAGCAGTCCTCATTGTCCGCTATATTCAGCGAGTCCGGTTCTATCCCAGGCTTTTTCAGACCCAGGCCAACTGTCCTTGGTGAGTTCCCAATAGAACATACCCATTCTCTCAGTGTGTGGGTGCATGAGAAAGTGCATCAACCTTAGTTTGCCATCTCCATTCCAAACTAAAATCAATTCAGTGAGCTCTGGGACTTTCGCTTGTGCATCATTGTGTTTGAGTTTCCAGAATCGTAAATGAAAACTACCATAACAGATGCATCTAAGCTGTCCAGGTTTGGTACACACTTCGGGTTATTCAGTCTTCCTAGAGTGTGTCGGACGAAGTATCTCAGAATGTGTGTTGAGAGATCAGCAGATTGTACTGATACCAGCTTTGTTAGCCACAAGCATAGACAATCACCACTGAAAGTGTGGGCACTGGGAAAGAGTGAACAAGTCCAGGGCATTGGACGCCATCACCATAGACGGCGCAGAGCCTGACTTCATGTTTCATCTACATTGTTTTAGAGAGAGTGTAGGCAGTGTGGGGAAATGTAGACTTGCCAGTCACGGGAGCTTTGGAGTAACCTGGGAACCACATTCCAGTGTACCCTTTCAAAACAGACATGACTTCTCATTGTCTTAGCTTTCTCATCTGTAAAATGAAGATGACACTTTCAGAGATGTGTTGAAAGTTCTTAATGGCCTGCATAACAGATGCCTGTCACATGAAAACCTCTCTTACTAGAGTTCCCATCAAACCAAAGCCAAATGAGCTGAAGATTTTCAGCATAAACTTTGATCCATTTTATCATTAACAAGAGCCATTGAACATAAACTGTACAATCATATGAATGTGTTTCACCAAGTGTGGTAAAAGTTCATATATTGAAGGGCACAGTGAATTCTCTCAGCAGAGGCACATGTATGAGTTAACTTGCTCATACTTCTGCATTCTAAATATAAAGAAGCCAAGTAAAAGTGATGTGATTGTGCCCGCTGGGATCGGGGGTATTAGGATACAGGTGTGAATGTGGGGGTTTGTTTCTGATTGTTTTTTTTTTTTGGTAGTCAATAAGAGGCTTTCTTTCCCAGAATGGGTGCAAAATGAGCAGCAGACCCACAGAGAAGTTGGCTTGTGTGTGTCCGATAAGCAGTTTCATAAAAAAGAGTGATTTGAAATTCTGTCCTTTGGACTTTTTATGAGACTGTGTCTATGTTTGCAGATTATGATCTAGAATAATCTAAAACTCATGAAATTCAGATCAAATCCTTTTTTCTGGTCATTCCTGATGGGAGTGAGTGTGGCTTTATAACTGGGTAGCTGAAATTGGTTTGTGAGGGTGAGGTCCATAGTTGTCATATGGGACTGAAAGTAAGTGTGGCCAGAACTTAAGAGTGACATTTTGGGATTGGCATAAGATTCCCTACTGAGTAAGACAACTAGTTTTTGCTCCTGAGTTAAAATAAACAGTTGGTTTTAGAGGCTGGGGGGTAATTGTTGTTAGTTTATTTATTGTCATTTGGGTAGTGTGTGAAATAAGGGGCGTTCAATTTCTCTTCAAAGAGTCTTTCTAGGAAGAGCTAAGGACTGAGACATATGAAAAGAACCAATTTCCCACCATATTCTTTCCTGGAGCAGGGCTCTCTATGCTCTACTATTTGGCATACTTTGGGGGCATAAGTAACCAGTTACTTATCTATAAATGGAAGCTACACACAGTGGTATTCCATTGAAGCACTCTTTTTCTTTTTTCAAGAATATATTCTTCATATGTTTGTGCCTTATGGAATACATAGCCTTCGTGTGGTTTCAGTAGCACCATCAGTAAGTGTCTATCTGCTTGCCACTCCCCATAGAGCTCTCTTCCTAGTGTCAGGTTTTACCATGTGGACATTCACATGGGAATCTCAGTTTTTTCTTCCTTAGTGTATTGTGAGCCTTTGTAGGAAGCAGAGAACTAGAATTCCTTCCTAAAACTCACTGCACATAGCAGCACTCATCACCTTCTGCTCTTGCTGAAGATTAAGAGTCACATTCATTTTATGTCCAGGCACCCTCAGCCCGCATGCCTGTAGTTCACTCGCGCTTTACCCCCATGAGACACACATTGCATGACATTTAGCCAACTGGTCTAGGCCCTGAGGATGTCAGACACTGGTAGCACACCAGCCTAGCACATGTGAGACCCACGGCTCTTGTTCCAGAAATGCTGTGGGAGCACATTCTGCTCCTTCAGGCAATAGCCTTTAAGATACCAGCCCACTTGGGTGTGGTCTCTTATACTGTAAAAGCAGTTGCAAAGCATTTTCCCTCTCTTTCTTGCTTCTGGCTCCTGCTTTCAGCTACTAGACTCTGTTCCTGTTTGTGCAGAGGACTGGTATCTAGGACAGTGATCTGTAAGTTTTTCCCTTAAATAAATAACCCTTTTATTATTCAGATCTGAACTGGTGTGGGATTGTTTTGTGACTTCCATCTTCACAGTAATACGAAACATATTTAAGTGTATATAATTTGCCAACTGTAGAAATAGTAGGTGAGTGAGGCAGGAGATGTCTTTGTATGCACGAACCTCACAGTCTGTTAGAGGATCAAGGCAAGTAAGCAAGCGTGTGTAATTAGTGTCATAGGTCCTTTGAAGTGGGAAAGTGTAGGAAACCTGTGAACTTGGTACATAACTCAAAGTTAGCGTAGGGCTAGAAGCCAACCTTCTGTGGCATTGGCTGCACTTCCATCACTCAGGTTAATGTTCTCAAGCCTAGTTATTTGTATTTTTTCACTTTGATACACTTGGCACATTGTCCTCTTGTTAGTTAAGGTTGCCTTCCTCTCTCTCTTCATGATAGTCACCTTTGTCACTATAGCAAAATATTTGAGCAAACAACTTAAAAAGAATAAGATTTCTTTAGGTTCATGGTTATGTGGTTCTATCCATGGCCAGCTGATGCCATTGCTTTGAGACTCTGGGCCATGCAGAAGCACCAGAGTGGAAGGGCATTGAGGGGAAGGTCACTCACTTCATGGTGACCAAGAAAAAGAATGAAACTGAGAAAGGCTCCAAGGTCAAGGTATGCCTTCTGACTTGGACTCCGCCATTTAGCCATTGATCAAGCCCAGCCCTTACAATCCAATCACATCAATGGCCATCCAAGCTTTTAATGTAACTTTAGGGAGAACATCTCGCTAGCAGATCCACAACACTTCAGTAAACCTGGTCATGATGTTTATCCAAATTCTGGTGTCCACTCTATCTGGACCCAGGGGCCTTGTTTCAGTAGTTTGTACACTGTGGTTCTTGAGCCCTTAAATCTGACCTCCTAAGTGGATGCAGATATCTGACTTTGTTGCATGTTTTCCTTCTGGTCATGCCAAGTGTGTTTGTACTGAAGCACAAGTCGTATTATCAGAAATTACATTCTTATTTTCTCTGTTATACTGTTGCTAAGGGAGCATATTAATTTAGAAAGGGGAACTATATGTTCTAGTAAGCTGTAGTAACTGATACCATCACTCAAGCATGTCATTGCAATTTCATCGAGTCTTAGAGAACAGAGGGAAGTTTACAGAGAAACAGGCTCCTGTCAGCCATGTAGAAAAGGTAGAAGGTGTAGTAGGACAAGGTGGGGCTAGAAGTGCCAGTGGAGATGGAAGGTGCGGTCCGCAGTCCTGCCCCTTTACTTGTCCCCACACCCTCCCCTCCACTCACAGTGCTCACGTGGCTGGCCTCAGCTCTGTGTACCTGCAAGCACATCATTATTCTTTTCTTAGGATCTCTCTGCCCCAAAGATGAGGAGAAATGGGAGATAAAGGGTGCAAAGGCAGGCACCTGTGTGTCCTGAGTTCTTGTCCTTTCTTCCAAGAAAGGGAGCTTTGTGATGTAGACTGAGGGCACACTTGACCTTGCTAGGGTAGGGTCACCTTGTCTAGTATCAAGGAGAAGTTTGGATAGGAGCAAATAAGGACCTAGCTCAGGACAGGCTGGCTTCTGGGCCAGTATTCTGTCTACTTCTATCTACAGTTCATCCATAGACCTAACCACAAGTTGTATGAGGTTTAAAATGGGGAAGGAATACTAACCCTGAGGCTGATACCTTTATGACTTTTGATTTCAGGCCAGTGTTCACAACCACTCTTTGGTGGTTTTTGTTTAGCCCCAATATCTTCATTCTCATTAAATGCAAGGTGTATCTGCCATCTTTCTTCTTCACGGTACATGCCATTTGCCTTCCTCATCATCTGTGTCTGTGCATTTAATTGGTTTAAATGGGTAAGGCCTGTGGCAACTTTCAGATGTTTAGGGCTGTCTGAAATTCTGTAGGGTAAGATGTCATGACAGAACTCTGTGAACATATAAAATGCATAATTGCACACTTAAAATGCTTGATTAAATTTGTATCCAAAATTAGGTCAAGACCAATGATTTTCTTTTATTGAAATCAGAAAACATTTTAAAATGAAACTATCACTCAGGACTGTACAGTACAATTTGTAGATGAACATATTTTAGGCTGTTGTAAATGGATTACTAGGTAATACACTAAGTTATTCTCTTTTGTTGATTTTTATTGATCGCTACATTTTTCTCTGCTCCCCTCCCAGCTTCTCCCCTCCCCTTCAATCCTCCCGCTAAGTTATTCTTGAGTATGTTTTAAGTAGTCTAGAAAAACAGGTAGGCATATAAACTATTCTGAAACAACTCTAGGAGCCCAGTTCTTTTCATTTGTACAGATTAACTTGGAATGCAGGATTAGACCCTTGTTCTCAGTTTCTCTGCTTTGTTTTCAGGTCCTGTCGGAGTTGGGCTGAATGAGCTGAAGCGGAAGCTGTTGATGAGTGACACCCAACACTATGGTGTGACAGTGCCCCGTGAGTCCTCCAGCACACAGTGCTTCTCTAATGACATTAGTGATGGTTCTTAGTGACATTTCCCCTCTAGACCTGTGTTCTAGAGCTCCTCAGCCCTGCACAGCGCCATCACATTAGAGAAGGAACTGGGGCACCAGAGACTCAAGGGATTTCCCCACACTCTGCACATTATTGATGGGTTATTTCTTTATTTCAGTTTAGCTGCTTGAGATGTTTATGGTGGCTTAATGCATAAGTGACACCAACATTTAGTTACAAATTATCTTATAAATAAAAGTCTTACTGTTCTGTTCCCCAAAGTTCTAGTGTTTACCACGGTTTTATGATTAGAAAGACCAAACGACAGAGAATCTGGGGAGACTTCTCATAGCACCAATGTTTCTTAATTACCTTTCATGTGTAGCAATTGGCAGGTAGTGTTTCAAATAGGCTTTCCATAGCTTAATTGACCAAACACGGTAAGCTTCTTTTAGTTATATAGAATTAGATCTATTTTTATAAAAATGGTTTTCATATGAAATACGATACTTGAAACATTTTGCTCCAGAATAAATGCCATTTGACTACTTAATATGTTGATGTTAGAAAGCTGTCTGAAAGGCCAGATTAGAAAGTTGGCTTTTTTTTTTTTAAAGTGGTTTTAGTGCTGCATTTAAAGAAAATCATTTGTGTATTGCCCTTAGCAATGTTCTCTCGTTTTGGAAGAGTTCAACTGTATTTTAAAATTATAGTGCTCTGCTACCTTCAGTTACTTCTTGTTACTACATTTTTCCAAATTACTGTTTGTAATCACTTTTAGCTGTAAGTAAGGGGACTTCTAGTTTTCAGCAACCAAGATGTAGAAACATGTAGAATGGTGCAGGTTGGTTTTTTTCTTTTAATTCCCTTCTCTTACAGATGTTGAATTCCAATGTACAGATAATTAGAAAATTTTACCACCCAATTGCTAACTTTATCAGGTGCATAAGCGTGGGAGAAACCTAGAAAGTTCAAACCAGATTTATCACTTTCCTGCTATGTCGTCCCCTTCATACCCTCCACACTGCAGAGTAGAACAGAGTCATAGAGGAGGAAGTGGATAGGAAGGATGCTTCATTAGGAGGAGGAAGTGGGTAGGGAGGATGCTTCACTGAGAGGAGGAAGGGGGTAGAAAGATGCCTCACTGGGAAGAGGAAGGGGGTAGAGAGGATGCTTCATTTGTACTTGAAATAAAGTTTATGACATCGCTTCTTAAGTTAGTTACTTTTGTTCAGTGCCTGACAGTACCAGCCTCAGAGAGCAAAGGAATGGATTCCATCCTGGTGGGGAAGGCGGTGGTCATAAATGTGGCTGAGACTATGTACTTAGTAGAGAACCAGGAAGCATAGAGCAAGGCTAGAACTGTAGGCTAGCCTATACCTTCAAAGGCCTGTTCCTAATAATCTACTTCAGCTAGTCAGGCCTCATCCCCTGAAGGCTGCAGAGCTTTCAAAAAATGATCCTATCAGCTGTGGAACAGCAGAACATGGGCTCTTGGGGACGCTTCATTCTCAAAACATGACACTTCTTATTCTCTCCTATGTAGCACTATCCTTTCAAACCTGTATCCCAGTAAATAGTAAAGCCTAGTTTCCTTTGAGGATAAGTACTGTATATCAGATGTGGTCTGCTGTGATAGTTGTAGTGTTGCTGGGGATTCCAAAACAAAGCCCTTGGCCCTCAGATTAACCAGACACTAAGATTCTATCAAGAAAGTTCCAGAGTTTGGACTTGCCAAAGAGACCCTCATTATACTTACTTCCTGTTTATACATGTTAATGCACAAAGACTCCTATGCAGTGTTTCCCAGGCCTGGATTACCCTCAGGCTCATAGGAGAAGTAAGTTCTGTGTCTATAGCAAGCATCCCCAGTTTTGTGATGTCAGGCATGCACAGCTGGAGCAGCGTCTCAATGTTCCAGTTAGTTCAAGAGTGATATATTTGAGGATCAAATTTGCAGTTCCAGACCCTGGAATTTTAGGGAAAACTTCCTGTTTTGATTACAGTAATATTCTGTTTGATGCATACATGTATAACGTCCATTTTTTTTGTTTTTTTTTGTTTTTTTTTTTATTTTATTGAGAATAAGAAAAAAAAGTTTCCGCCTCCTCCCAGCCTCCCATTTCCCTCCCCCTCCCCCAGTCTTCTCCCCCTCCCCCCTCTCTTCTCCCCCTCCCCCC